AAAATCTCGCTTGTAAACTTACACTCACCATTTTCTTCGAAAATATATGTGAGTTCCACAAAATCTAAACAAAACGAAATCAACGTAAAAAAACCATGACTTTCAAATATACAGAAAAGTTTCAAAATCTTGTTACTTGATCATTTTCACATAGAGACGAAACGAAATCCCAACTATTATCTTTTTCTTTATGACAATGTTGATTGGTACGCGGCCCAATATAATATTTTCGTGCGCCACAAGCAAACCAATAGATCATTGCAAATACAAGAATTCCTATGAGAATAACTACCGCATAGTTCATATTCTCTACTGTCCCTGGTTGATTTGTTGGCATCAGAAAGATAACTGAGACAAACGCTGTCCAGATCACTGACCAGTAGTTAATTGGTGTCGAAAATGTTCCTAAATTCCATAGTCCAGGAATATATCTTCCTGTTTCAGTACCATAGATCAGTTTACAAATTATCGGTATACAATAAATCCAGTCAAGTGCAATCGCACAAACATTAAAGATTGCTGCAATTGCCGTATAGGAACCGAGTCCAATCAGATTGATGCTAACGGCGAGAGTGACACTCAGCCAAACGGCAATCAGAGGAGTCTGAGTGTAACTATTGATTCGAATCCATACTTTTGAAAATGGTAAAAGTTCATCACGTGAAAAAGCATAGATAGTTCGGGCATTTGCCTGAAGAACTGAAATGCCGCAAAAATTTAGAATGATAAAAGCAAAGAGTGTAAAAATAATGCCACCCGTTCTACCGAGAACGTTGTAGAAAATCTGAGTAAATGGTTGGGCTGTTGGTGAAGACAGAAGATTTTCAATGTCTCCCATAGTGAAGGCAAGAACAATGTTGAAGAGAAAACCGAGACTGTAGGTGAGGAAGAGAGCAGAGGCAATTGCCTGTGGAGCACGTACAGCTGCATTCTGAATTTCTTCTGCAATGTGTGCTGTTGCATCATAGTCTGTCATTACCCACACAACGGAAAGGAATCCAAAAAGGAACGAGAACCCGACAGGACTCCAGCCACTATGTGGTTGAATTTCAATGAACACGTACTTCGCTGAGTGTTTTTCTTTTTGGCATACTAGCAAGCTGGTGCTCGCCGATACTAACACGACAAGATGAAAGATGCCATACCATTTTGTAATTCTATCGAGCCATTTCGTGCTGAGACTATTGATCAAACCATGGAGAATAGCGATCGCAGCCATAACACCAATGGTATGTCCAGCAGTTGGATGATAACAAAATTCTGTGCTCATACTGACGGCAGCAAGTAGAAGTTGTGAACACCCGTAATCTGTTGAGGCGACTGTAGTAACTTGCCCGAGGAGATTTAACCAACCACAAAGCCACGATGTCAACGGAATATATTTAGTTGGAACAAGATATTTCAACGTAAAATAGAGTCCACCCGACGTTGGATAGGCAGAAACAAGTTCTGCGACACTCAGTGCCATGCACATGCATCCTGAGCCAGCAATCAACCAACACCAGACGACTGCCGGTGCACCGCCCGCCTGCAAACCATAGCCAAAGGTCGTTCCAATTGCAGCGTAGAGACCAGAAATAGATAATGAAAATGAAAATGAAGAGAGCCGGCCGAATTCACGTTTGAAGACCGGCTCGTAACCGAGTTCAATGATTCGTCGATCATCTTCATCTGGCATACTAGTGCCGGTCGGTTCAACTTGAATATTGTCTGAGTCTCTTTGCCATTCCTCGGTGGTCATCGCTAGCTGTTTATTCCTAAAAAAATGTGCCTTCGAAACAAAAATAATACATGTATTTAGTCTTCATATAGCTTGACGCGTTATTAGTCGTTGGAGGGCCGTATCAAACAGAATCCTCTCGGGGTGAGCAGGCGCGAATGTATGTGGATTAATGCTAGATGATGATGATTACGCCAACCACATAACTTAACCTGTTTCACCATTACAATCGTCTTTCAAACTTATGTCAATGATTATTTCGACTTACCTAATGTGTGAAACTCGATTCAGCATCTGATGAGAGTAGGGAATGTATATACAATATCAGATGAATGATCTATAGTGGCATTCTGTCTTTTGAATTTATTAAAAATGCCCAGTCCATACTTGCGACTTCCATAGCCGTTAAGGCAATAGACTACGCGAGACTCAAAACGAATTGCTGATCAAAATCAGTTTCAAGTAAACTTTCGTTAAGAATCCCTGCACATAACCCTCGACCCGACGTGCTTAAACCAATTTCCAAATGCAAACCATCAAGTATATATGTGAAACGTGCTTCATCCACAAAGGTTTTAACAACAAACGACATATATCTAACTTGACCCATTACTGAGGGTGTCTTTGACGTATTCGAAAGTAGAAAGGCGTTGGGCATATGTATTTGAAGAGAATGAGCTAAACTACCTTTTACCATCAAGATTGCATTCAATTTACAATAAATATAAGAAAAAGGTCAAATTATCAAGTAATTATTGAAATGTTTAGAAAATATAACGGGGGAAGTTCTATTTTATAAAGAAGAAACAAAGAAAAACGTTGGCGAAATTTTTGAATTTTTTTTATCAACGTAGTATTTTGATATATTCAAATATTTGTTCTCTTTCTAGTAATTGGTTTCTTTAATCTGTTTAATATTCGTAACGTTTCTGATGATAATATCGTCCTAAATAAGAAATTAATGTGCAAAACAGAAAGTTTTCTCTTACATATACACATATTTTGATGATTGTTTTTGTTCTTTCTTCTTCCGTAATAGTGGCATGGAGTCTATATCACTATCACAGGCAGTGGAGCGAAACAAATCACCAAACTATATGAAAATATATATAAAAGAAAAATTTTCTGTTTTGTACAATAACCTGTGATGGAGAACGATATTTTAGTCTAAAACGTTCAGAATACTATAAATAAATTAACGAAACTAACCAGTAGACAAAGAACAAATATTTAAATATGATACGAATAACCTTTCTAAATGCCCGAGTCGAAAAATCTGACGTAAGATCTTGCAATCCGGACGTCAGATCTCACAATTCGAACGAAATCTTATAAGCATCAGACAAAAAATTGTCGTCTCTGAAATCTTGCGTCAGATCATACTATATTGTCTTTAAAGATCACACATGCAATTTATTTTCACTACAAATTTGTCGTGATATTTCATGGGTAACAGAATCTTTCAAGAATCTTCTGATACGACTTAGTGTAAGAAATCAGAGACGACGATTTTGCGTGCGATTTTATGTCTGATCTTATCAGATCAGATACGATCAAACGTACGATTCTTGTAAGATCTCGCCGTCTGGTTTCTCGCCCTGGGTGGTAAACAACATAGTATTCTCGTATATTTAGTGCAAATGGAGCGTAATCAACGATGATAGGTAGTTTAAATCTCTCACTTCATGTATATACATGTGTATGCCTACAATATACCTTGCCATCTTCGAATAGGGCAAAAAATAAAAGAGAAATGAAAAGGGGTGGCTACCAATAAAATGCACTTTAAGAAAATATAATTTTGAACAATACATTGTTTTCTCTTGATGTTGTAAGTTCGTATAGTGAAATTAGAAAACGATGTTGTATTCTCCACTTTAAAAGAACTGGCTATTGCTGTACTCATTTTGCCATGAATAAAAACGTTAACTGTTGTCAATTGTTTTCACACTTTGTGCGCACTCAGTCGTTGGTCATGAAAAACATGCAATGTATGTTCACTATCGTTTCTTTTCATAATTATCATCACTATATAGTGCGCTTTTGATGTTTACACATAGGAAAGAAGTCATGCGTTACAACAGAGTGTAAAAATAAACATAGAATGCTTCATATAATTTCAATCACGCAGAATGAAAGATCATGATTGCATGTTCGACCTTGACGTAAATAAACTGCACATCGATTACGAGGCAATACATGAATAAAGTACATAGTTGTTGTAATGCTTGAATCCTAATAATTTATAGGTGATCAGCGATACGGATCCCGATTAGTACTCCAGTGAATAAGGTCTCGGTCATGCTTACTAGTTACTGCGAAAGACAACAATAGAATCTCGTGCGAGAGTATTCGGATGCACAAGAGAAGGCATTGGGTAGGGCGGTATTAATCTTTTAACCGAAGTTTTATGTTCTTTTTGTTTCGGCCTTATTTTAAATTCTGCATAATTAATTAGAGAGCATTTCGTATCGCGAACGAAAGACATGCGTCATATGTATATAATCGTGTGTATAAAATAAAAAAGCGAACATAAAATGTTTTCATTATTTGGATTCCGTTGTGACATGAATAGAATATATCACAAATAATAAAATATTAAAAATGAAACATATAAGCACCGACTTGTTTAAAAAGAAGTTTTGTGAAATTTTAGCGTAAATAGAATAGTATTTTATTGATTATAAGTGAAAAATAAAATGCTATTGTTTCTCGTTTACCGTGTTCATATAGTAATGTAATTTCTTTTCTTCTCGATACATATATATTCAATTATGTCATCGACCAGTAATTTGAAAAATCTCCAAATTTCAATATTGCATTTTTGGAACCGGGGTATACGATCTGTTTCCCGTATGCGTCGCGAAGCAAGCATTCCACTGAGAACTATCTATTACAATATTGACAAATTAAAGCAAACAGGTTCACTTCAACATCGAGGTGGAAATGGTCGACCACGTGTCCTTGATGGACTAGAAAAAAAAACTATCGGTCAATTCATTAAGTCGACTACTAAGAAAGATCTTGAGGTTGTGGTTGAGGTGATCACCGTGTTCTCAAAACAAACAACGTTACTAAAATAGTTAGAAGGTGTTTTTCCTAAGTTCTAAACTACTTTTCGTTTATTATGCATGCCTAATTTATTTGTCGAAATCGCTATTTTCCTCTAATATTAACATGCGAATGTAATTAGTGCTAGTTTCACTTTTACACTATAAAGTTCGGGCTGCTTTAAAACAAAAAGCTTTTGTTCTTCTAATACAAAAATTCGGCTCATATGTTTGTGAATTCTTCTTTTTTTAATTTAAAAATTTTAGCTAAGAGAAGTATTCTGAAATCTCAATTATTTTTAATGTGAATCGATTTTATTAAAAGCTATTCAAATAATTTATTTTTCAATATGTTTGGTTTAATGAAGCAATAGTTCGCTCAGCTAATTTAAATTATAGAAAGAAAAACGTTTGATTATATTTTCTAATTATGCAGAAATGATAATATGCTTTTTGTGTTTAAACTAATAAAAATATATTTATAGCGAATCGAATAAAAATAGATCCGACATGTAAAAATCTTCAAGAAATTTGATAATGAAATTCATGGAAGCGAAAATTTTACAATAAAATATCGAAGAAAAATTCAACTTTTCAACTGTTTCATGGATCTCTACTTGTTAATAATAGAGAATTATCAAACAAAAACTTAATTGAATTTGCCTTTCTAATAAACTAATCTTTATAAAATTTGACAGTTATTTGGCATATTAACACGGTGTATATTAAAATAATTAGTAGGATCTAAATGAATAATGTAATCCATAAAAATATCGCGCATTTGATGAACATTTTTAATTTGTTGACAAACAGATTGTTTATTTGGATAATTAACTAATTCAGGACGTAATGAACCCATAAAAAAAATCTTTTTACCAAAAAAACCTTTTAAATTATTTTTCTGAACAAGATCAGATTGAAAAAAATCATTTATTTTATCTTCTCGTTGTTGCCAATTTGTTTCTTCTGCATGTGTTACAATTAAACAAATATATTCATGTAAAAATGGATATTTTTCTTTCACAAAAATCATTGAATAAATATCTTCGATATCTAAATTTGTTTGTAAATTAATAACAAATGCAAATAAATGTATATTAGTAACATCTTGTTCCATACATTTATCAATACTTCGTTTTATTTTATCATTTTTAATTGTTTTATTTTGTTGTTTTACTTTATCAAACATGCCAGGTGTATCAATTATATTTAAAGAATAAATACTATTTGAATTAATTAATGCTGTCGAAACAGAATGAATGGTTATTTGTTTTGTTTCAGAATAAATTTTTCCATCAGGTGGCATATAACAAGGATTTTCAATAACTTTTGCAATTGTTGTTTTTCCACTTCGAGTCTTTCCCATTAAAAGGAGATTATGTGTTATTGTATGACGAATTAAATATTTATTATTTTGATTACTCCATTTTTTAACTTCATTCATCATGTCATTAAAATCTGGTAAATTATCGGTTGCATACATCCAACTTTGTCTTTCTAAATAAATCAAAAATTACTTGGACGTTAATATTCGATAGAATTTTTCTAAAATTCTTTCAAAAAATACCTGTTGAATAATTTATTTGGCATGCATATGTTGATATATATTTAGCCATTATGGAAGTTGAATAAGAAATCGATCTAAACAGAAAAAAAACTTTAATCAAGAGAAAATTTCTACGAGAGAATCATTCACAAAATGTCATTGAATTTTATTTGAAAATTGATCTATTGATCTTTATATTGACAATTGAATATTCATCCGATTAAGTATTTTTAAGTTACTTTTATCTTAAAAATCAATTTAATTAATATGCAAAATCCTAGACGAAACATTTCTCTTATCAATAACGATATAACGATAACTAACAAGGTAACGCGACGTTAGCGTCGCCAACCCTATATTGAAAGGATGTAGTCATGTAGAACGTAGCTATTCAAAACTATCGAGCTGAGAGACTTCACATTTTATAGCTTCGAAATGATTTTCATGGAAAACACGATTTATAGCCGAGCATAAATAGAAAACTTGCTTGGAAGTATCACCAAGAAAACGGCATTTAAGTAGTACTTATTAATGCGATATGACAACAGTGAAGTTCAATGCATATGATCTGCTACAGCTCAAGCTATGCTCCGAAAACTTCCGATCAGCTTGATAACGGAGTGAAGAAAAAGACCCATTCAGGAGAGCTATCCCGGGACCAAACGGTACGGCGGGAAACTGTTGGTTCCGGTGAAATTCCGGCAAAAACATGGAAGAAGGGTTCCGACGCCTCTTTACGGGAGCAGGATCCGATTCGGTTGCAACGTCCAGATCTGACCGTTTTTATTTCCTTTCAGACGGTTTAATCCTGCAATCAGAAACGATAGGATCTATTCGAAAACGTATTCCTTATAACTACATGACTTTAATACCTTACAGTCGACAAATTGGATCGCTCTCTCAAAAGAATCTCTAGAATACAATTGTATATTTAATGTTCAAATGTATGGAATATTAAGAAAAAGTTGCAATTTCAAACAAGCACTGATAAAGATGTTGGCTCTCTTCAAAACATTGGACTAAATTGGACATGGTAGTCATTATTAAAGCAGTTTTAAGGAGTACGAATTTAACAGCAGTGTGAGAACAAGCCGCTTCGATACAAAATACCACGTAAGAGATTGCACAGCTCACAACTCACTGCTGAGAGCAATAGTGGAGTAGAGACCACGATAGACTATTGAATTATGTCTTCAAATTCGAAGATATTATTTAGCTCAGATAATTCCTCGCGATAATGCACGATAACTAAGTAAACGAAACCACTACTGAGTTGATTTAAATTAAATTAATTTAATTGACAAGAGTTCAAAAACATCTGATACAAAAGAAACCGACACCATAAAAAGCAACAAATTAAACGTCCATCTCTGGAAAGTCTAAAAACCGACAAAATACTCAAATCTTATCATTTTAAAAGTCTCCAAACACACCTGTCACAGATACGAACGAAAGGTGACAGACAGGCACTAGAGCAGAAAGACCATTCTCTCCGAATCCAACCGAGTTAGATATGCCAAAAACTAGAACGCTCAAAAAACAAGTATTGCAATACTAAAACAGACTCGTCCATGCAGCTACTAGTAAAGTGCCTTCAAGTTTGTCTGAGACTGTTCAAACTGACCTAGCAATACATGAACACTCTGAAGATCACCAATTTATCCACAGGAGCGAACATTGAAAGTTCCAACCCCAGAGGCGTAACACACCTGTTCAGGTAAGGTACAGGTAACACTTCGCATACTTTTTTATACCAAAACTTTCTCAAAATCATTCCAACCTCATTTCTAATATTAATCGATGATAATTGAAAACAAGAATCGACATAGAACTTTGGACTTGTTATAAATCTTCCTTGAGCAACATTTACAATCAGTGTTGTATTCTCTATCAGCAGAATATTATGTAATTAAGGTAAATAGAACAAATCACCTTCAAAGATCTTTATTAGTAAAAAATTGCAGCGTTCCTTCGCGGAAAGATCTTAAAATATGATTGTCTGTCGATCTGAATCTTCTAATCACAGAAATACCTTATAACTAAGGTAGTCACACTAAAGATCTCTAGTGATCTTCGTAGATCTTTTATATTTGTTTCAGAATGCAGAATCGTGGGTTCCGTTGTGCTTCCGGTTTGTCCCATCAGTATCTTTTGCTTTTCCGTTTTGGATGTGAAGGTTTCCGCTGGCATTCCTGATTCCCTCCTCCCTGTTCCTTAGAGTTTCCTATGACTGAATTTGGGAGGAAGTTAAGGGTTCAGGGTACGGGTTTTTCCAGGGGGAACACTGCTTCCACTTCCTATTGTTTTTCCTGCAGGATCCGGCGGGAATGACTAGGGAACCGCTGGAAAATCACCGAAAAGAAGCCGTTTCCAGACAGGTTCTGGAGAACGGAATCATCGACCTGGGAAGTAGTGAATTAGACACTGTTTTGTAATGCGATAAATGACGTTCTTCTTTTCCTATTCGACATATGTAACTATGAACTCTGGAAACATGTGATTTAATATCTTCTCAAAGAGAACAAATTGGTTACAGAGTAGACAAACAACACATGCGTAATATAAAAAATAGTGATAAAAGCAACAGAGTACAATTGGAAGAAAAAGGTTTGCTTAAAATAGTAAAACACTGTATTAAAAGAACAATGATAAAAAAAGATGTGAATAAAATCTAACATCGACACTACCACTGTTAATTATGAATGAGGAGAAATTGCTCGTTGTGGATATGCTTTATATAGAGCATGTTTTGCTAAAACAAAAATAAAAATTCCATATAAATCATTTGCAATCTTCGCCAAAAAAAAAACAACCTAACTAATATTAAGCAAAACAAAAAATAGTCTTCATTACCAACGAACTAGATTTTCTAATTAGCTAACCTGAGGTTGATTATTAAAAAGCTTTAAAAGAAAAAATATTATTCTAATTAGTACATAGTTTAGTAGTGGTTAATCATTTCTAATAGAATAACTAATAATCCACTGACCTGCAATTTGACGAGTTTTTTCTTTTGTTTCTTCAGCAAGTCTTGATTGTATATTTAAAGCCTAGAAATAATAAATATCAATTAATATTATTCAACATGCCAGGAAAATTTCTCGATACAAATTAGGATTAATGGTTCACCGAGACGTATCAAAACCAACATTTGTCCTAATGATGGGAAATTTCCGTATACAAAATCACGGTATTTTGTTTATCAATAGGATTTTGTTTAAAGAAAAAAGAATACCAACAGCTTTATCAGTAAAAAAATTATGGTCAATATAGCACTGACTGCTGATCTTCAGACGTAAAGCTAGTCAAATATGGAGTTACTATTGAAACTTCTTCTACACAATTACTAATCACACGAGCAGGCTTATAGTACAGTGTAGTAAACATATCTTCAAAAAAGCATTGCTTGATGAAACACGTATCAAACAGCAGAGCCATTGAGTACCGAGATCATGACTCCAATGTTTTATCGCAAACGATTCATTGTTTATCGTGGGGCTAAATGTCGTGAGGAAAAAAACATCCGCTGGAATTGAAAGCATTTCAAGCACTTAAGTAACCTTGGGACCTATCAGTGGGCAAAATTTCAGATCAAAAATTGATAAGACTGTTTTTCATGAATTTCGTATTTAAAAGAAATAAATAAAACAATCATCACAATATTAAATATTTTTTTATATATAAAAGGAAGAGAGCCCTTATTGAAATCATAGTGTTTGATTGCACACTAAAATCGTTTGCGACGGTCTATTGGTGGATTTCAAATTTTTTATCCTATATATTTTAGTATTTCTTCTTGAGTTTTTTATACAAAAATTCATGATAAGATGCAAAAACCAAGATGTTTCTCTCGCTACATACTCGTTCCTGTTCTTTGTCGAATTTTCTTTGATTTAAATACGATCGGATATGGCCATCGTCAAAATCTTGCTCGTTCATTATTTGCAAACTAAACAGTACAATGAAAATTAAGTCTACAAAAAAAAAGTTTATTTACTTTTGTTTTGAAACTACTTTTCGTGATTCGTCTCTTCTCTTCAGTTTTCCTATACGCTCATGCATTGCTAATACTTGATCATCGCTATCAAAATCAACGTATCGATGATCGGGTATGTCGACTCTATTTGGTTTGAGTATCTTCGAAAAATAAAAATCCATGTTTAACGAATGACAATATTCACACAAAAAAGGTTTACCTCGGTATTCATATCAAAATTTATTTTTCTTTCATGCAACGATGGTGTTTGAGGATTTGGCTTAAGAATACTCTAGAATAATATTTAAAAAAACCAATGAATATAAATCTTCGTGACTATTTTTCTATTTACATTTGGTTGAGATTTATTATCACGCTTAGCAGATTTAACTGTTGCGAGACGTGCTATCGTACCAGCATTATTATTATTATTACTATTTCCATTTGCATGTATATTGCTTTTCTTTGGTGATGTTCGTTGATCTTCACGATTCTTCAAAAGAAAAAAATATTATTTTTATTCTATTGCAAATAAAAAAACTAATTTACTAAGTAACGAGTAGACTCTTCAGAATCCAAAACACGAGACAACGAAGCAGATCTTGTCTCTAGAAATAAAAAAATATAAAAATTTTATTTTAGCATTTCTAGCAAAATACTTTTAATTGGTAGATCACCATTTGTATTTCCATCTGAAGAAATAAAATCAACAATTAAAGAGAATAAAACAAAGATAATTTACTTCGATCGTATTCTTGTAAACGAGATTCCTGAATAAAATAATCCTCATTTTTATATAGAAAAAAACAAATTTCAATGTTCTACCTTTATTTTCAATCCATCTAAATCATTTTCTTCATAGGGACGCCAATGGTTACGATTTGATGATCCATTTTTTGAAGGTACTATTCCTAAACCAAATTCAATATGTAAGAAAACAAGGAATCAATATGAACTTTCTTTTACCATCATCAATCGATGGAATTGTATTTGTATAGGATAAAATATATTTTTCCAAAGAACGTAAATTCATTACCACTTCAGCTAATTGCTATTTAAAAAGATTCAATCAATTAATACGGCCGGTTTTGAATAGAAAATATCTACCTGGCTAACATGTGATATATAACTATCAGTTGTAGCCGTTTGTTCTCGTAGCAAAGGTAAAACATTTTCAACACGATTTTGTTCATTTCGCGAATAGATTTGACGATTCCATTGAAGTAATGCTGTCAAATCGTTTAATAAAGACTAAAGAAAAAATAATGATTTATTGGCTGTAAATGGAAGAGTACTGTTTTTTTTAGATCAAACTTGATCTCAATTCTATTGAAACAGTCTGAACATTGCAAAACAATATGTGGTCAGAAAGCAGATAATCTATTCCGATAAAATTTGATCGGAAAAAGTTTTTTAAAGAAATTTCGAGTACGTCTGAAGAAATCCTACGTAACTTCATCTATTCTTTCCAAGGATAAAACTCTGTAATTTATTTCTCACAATTGGTGTGCAAGATGTTTCCATTTGCATCCATTTTCTTTTTATGGTCCTATTGAAAATAGCTCTTTCATTCAACGAAAACTATTAAATAGAAGACAGTGACACTGAAAAGCAATGCAAACAAAAAGAAATTAGAAACATTTATAATTCATCGTCTATGATGAGATTAACTATTAGTCCGCCATGACAAAACTAGCACCTATTTATGGCAAAGCTTTCGATTTGATAAAGTACGCACTTGATGTTGAAGTAATGTTGAAAGTTCCTCTTGAAGTTGGACAGCTTTAGTATAAAGATTATAAATATAATAATCTTCTTAACAATAAGTGTAATTTACCTAATTTATCGTCATGCAATACTCGATCAATATCAGCCTTTAGTATAAAATCAATCATTGTAAGAAGAAAAGAAAATTTCTCTTTCGAAAACACTTACACGTATAGATAAATCAGTCTCGTCAAGATCTTTTTGTGTATTCAATGTTTGTATTAAATTATTTAAATTTGAACGACGTTGTAAAAATGTTGTCTATAATAAATAATTGATTGGAGAGAAAAAGAATTTAATTTTAATTTTTTTTACAAACCTCATTCTTTATTGTTGACCATTCGAATGACGAGATATTTTTAAGTAGATTTTGAAGATACGCTAATTTTTCTTCCCATACTGGTTTTAATTTTTCTAGCTGATCAGAAATCTTTCGACAGTGATTTATGAATATAGACTGAGATGATTGGCTGATCGATGCAAAAACAAAAAGAAGATGATAGTAAAATTTTATCTCGAAATTATTTTTCTACTTTATTCTTAAAAATTTATTTCCATTAAATAATTGATTAGTTATACGTTCATAATATGTTTGTAGATGATAAAGTAATTCAATGTATCGTTTAACAACACGTGCTGATTTAATTGTTGATTCATGCTAATTGAAGAACAATTAATTATAAAAACGAAAATTAGCAAACTACGATATTTACGAAGTCGTGTTCTAAGTATTGACTTTCACTCATATTTGACATGGCGGATATTGGCCGAGTGGATGAAGCTAAAAGAAAATTTGTTTTCTTTGCTTTTTTTTACGAAGTGTTCACTTTATAATATTTACCTATTTGACGACTCGATGACTGTGAAGAATTCAACTAAGAATCAGAAAGAAAAATTGTAATCAGAAAGAAAACAATGATACATACTCCATTTTTTCTATTGATTACGTTTGGCGATTGACAGCCATTTCGTTGATCTCTAGAAATAGGAAAGCTCGAGTAGCCCAAAAAAATATTTACGCTCTCTGAAAACTCAAACAAACCTTTGTAACATTCGATTTTGCCAAGCAATAAGTTCTTGTTCTGCTTGTGTTTTTCGATGATTATTTGAACTTACGGGAGATTGATTCGTCGGTGCAACTTCTTGTGGATATAAATCATCCGTGGGATAGTAATTTTGCTCTTTCATTCGATTCGGTCCGAGAACAAGACGATCAACAGCAGCAAATTCGTTTCCGTTACGATGTCTAGTTAATGTCGGTGTGCGCAATGGAAAATTTTGAGACGACAATGATGATGATATATCAACAAGACGTTCGTTGTAATCTTTCGTTGTTCTCGGCATTGTATGTTGATCATTGTTGCTATTATTGTTTGATGTAAATGGTAATAATGGCTGTCCATTTGTTGGGCGATTAACGTCAAAGCCCCATGAGCCTATCGTTGCTGGCGACAACTGATGAGTAAAATTATTGTTAATACTAAGAGATGAAGGAGGCGATGGCGATCGTATATGATACCAATGTTTTTCATCATCATCATCGTCGTCGTCGTCGTCATCGTCATTTAGATTTGTAAAATGACTCACATCAGACACAATTGGCTTTCTTGATCTGTGATTAAAATAAATAAATAAATATACAATAGACTAAAATGCTAATTCCAATAATGATCTACCTTCTTTGTGTCATCTTTGCATTCAAATAAAAATTCTTCCTCGTTTTTCTTTTATTTCTTGTCTTAACGTTACGCAGTCATCGACAAAGAGTAAATTTTCATATTCAAGTAAATGAAACAGATCGACTAGAAAAGAATGGCATTGACGATGATGCAGCTACCGATCGTATCGAACGGCAGAAAAAGAAAAAAAAGAAGAAATTGAGAACGAAAAAAGAAAGAAGAATAGAACTTCAGTTCAATATTTGATTACACAAATTGACACACAGACAATACAATAGTCGAAGCAGCTTTCTGTTCTCGATTTCTGTTGCGCTCAAATGAAGAAAGACATCAAATGCGAATGTATAAAAAAAATAGAATTATGTACATATTTTAAAACATCAGTCTATCGTATAAATATTACAGCATAGAAGTCAACTGGAAGAAGAATAAAAATGAATCATTGTTTTGTTGTATTAGTCTAAAACATGTTTTTCATAGTGAGTCAAATGTCGTTCACTTGATATTTATTTACAAATATAATAAATCAGAAGTTTATTCATTTACTTAAAAATGAAGTAAAAAAAGAAATATATAGAAGACATCAACGTGCCGTCGATAAGTATAATAATAGTAATATGCAAATGTTTGGCTTCCCTTTTCTCTTTTATTTTGAATATGATTACTACCTGTGGTCTAATTAGGTAAATCCTAAACTAAACATAATTAGATTTCTAACATTGAAAATCAAACGTCTGAAAACGCATAAAAGTCACTTGTACAAGTTGAAATGCATAAACCTTGAAAAGGTCGATGTCACAGATGGTTTGAATTTGTTATCTCTAATGATAAATAGGTTATCTATTTATAGCCAGATCTAATGTTCATTTTGACCTATGTATTAAAGAACAAAAAAAAATGTAAATCTTCTTTTGTGCTCAATTAAATCTGATTGTTGTATCTAGCTCGAATTTCCTTTCATAGTCTTATCGATATTAAATCTTTTGATGTCAATAGAAGCGAAACACAAATTTTCATAATGAAAACATTCGTATTTTCAATCAAAATATATTGTGATGATTAAACTTAGCTTATCGAAATTTTACAATAAGAAAAACCATTCAATCATTAGATCAAAAATCGCTTTATTCATGTAATGTTTCTCAAAAATTTATTCTCATTAATAATCGTTCTTCTGTCTGACATTCATATAGTACTTGTCACTTTATCAATCGACTTCTATATACATTACATGAGCAGTCGCTTTCTTTTTCTTTCAAAAAATTATATCGATGCCCACGCAAGCAGAACATATCGTAAGGATATAATATAATACTTACATAAGAAAAATTCATGGACAAATCGGCTTAGAAGTAACGTCTACTTGATAGTTGACAATGTATACTTTTTCAAAAATCATCTTTTATGATAAATTTGCGTATACGTGTGGATATCGTCTGTATTTGTTACACCAAACATATATATTTTATGTGCGACCCAAAAAGAAAAGAAACATGGAAAAAATACAGATGCCTAAACATATCAGTTCTACATGTAATTTTTGAAATTTTCTTTGCCTATACGTTATAACATATAGCAAGAAAAACAGTTAAATCGTTTCTATCTAAGATATGTACATGAAAAATTGAATTATTGCAAACGAAATAAGAGAAAAAAAAATAGACAGAAATCTAGAAGTTATTTGATTTAATTTTTCGCTGCTAATTTTGATGGTGGTCTGCCCCGTGTTTTTCGTGCCGGTGGTGATGGAGATGATGAAATCGATGATGCTGATGCTGAACGTAATTGAGGTTTTTCATATGGAAAATTTATGCGAGATCGAGTTGAACCATTCGTTATGTTTTTTCGTAATTTTTTACCATTGATCAATGATGCAGCTAAATGAAGTAAAAAAATATGTATATACATACAATGAGAAACTTCAGGCTGATAAAGAACAATCACTAACTAATCAACGCCTATTGATTAGTCTTTTCTGTTTACCGATACTATGGCAGAGAGAATCGTAAGAGGACAAGGTCTATGAGTCTTATTATTGTTTGATGACTGTTTTAATGAATTGCGGCTTGCTGAATTAAATATTGACAGAGCGGTCAGATTTCGATCTGAAATTTCATCCGAATGCATGTTTATTGCTCTTTCGAAGATCTAGATAGTTTCAGTTCTGATGAATTCACTTTCTTCGAAGAAACTATTTAGAATACGTATATGAATTCTATTATCAATTCGTTTTCATCTGATGAATGGATGCTGATCACTGAGGCAACTATTTTAGTATAAAATGATTAGGCAAAAGCTCAGCTTAGATTTATTTGGAAGTACTTTTAATTGTCATTTTATTTTAATTATGACAAGAAAACTGCAAATCGCCTTAAACAGATTTATTTCTATCGAATGAAAAATAGAATGACGGTACCCGGTGAGAACTGATTATTTTACTTACTTGAATTATTATCTTCATTTTCTGAAATAGAACGACTTGTTTTTCTCTTTTGCTGTTTTGCATTCGCCGAAGTTTTCCGCCGTTTATTTGGCAAATTTTGTTCTTTATCATCGTTTTCATTGTCGTCTCCTCCACTCGTTCGTTTTCTTCGTGTTATTTTCGGTGGCGATACTATTGTCGTATTTGAGGTTGTCGTTATAGTAGTATTATTATTATTGTTACTGCTATTATTTGCTTCTAAACTATTGATTATTGTTCGTTTACTTGCTAATGTATCACTAACTGTTGTTGTTGTTATAGGTTTGAGTTTAATTTTGAAATCTTTTGGTAGATAAGACAAATGATTGTAACGTGTCTTTTTGAAATACATTTCTGGCAATGGAACATTTGAACTCGCTCGACATATCATTAATGATGATGCACGTTGTGATAAAATCACATACGCTAAATCAACAAGAACGTGCAGTTTTTTAATCGCATCTTTTCTTTCAATTTTTTCTTCTTTCTCCAATACAATTGTTGCATCTTCAGATGATTTTATCGAACGTAATAAACCTTTATAAAACAGACCGACTGTTGTATCACAACGTAATAATAGAGCATCAAATAAAAATAATATATAATCAGTCATTGTATGTAACATTTCAATATCATCGTATAAAATGAATGCTGGCGATTTCGATAGAAAAAATAGAAAATATGTTAAAGAATATTCAGGATATAATTTATAATCAATTGGTTTATCGTTATTATTATTATCATTATTATTATTATCATCATCATCTTCATGGTTGTGATTGAAACCATTTGTATGCTGAGGATGATTATTTGCTGTTGTATGAGCTGTTTTATATGATAATTGAAGTTTAATATGTTCACGGCGCGTATCAATTATTTGTAACATTAAACGACGAATTTGTTCACGATGTTCACGTTCAGGTTCTTTAGCTGCAAATGCTAATAACGCAAGTAACTCAATTGGACATGTAGGATCACGTAAATGTTCAGCTAGTTTTCGATATGTGCGTTGCCGAACAATTGATGATGAGTCCTAAAAAGTTTAAACTATGGTTTAAAAAAACACAGCAAAATAAATAGTTTACTTACACGAAGGAGACTTATTATAATAAGAAAATCATCGGGCTTCATGCGTGAATAAAAATATGAATTGCATATTAATTTTAATAAACATGATAAACCACAGAGACGAATAAAGATGATTTCACTTTCACTAAAATTAAATCAAGATGAATTTTTACATGGTCTCTCATCCTCGGAAAAAACATCAGTGTCGTTTTCGTCTTTTAAAATATCGAAAATTCTATTCAACTTATAAAGAAAAATAAATGACAAAGATTTCGATCTAAAGAATGAATCGATTTTTTTAATATTTACCTCATTTCACCTGTAAAATCTTGATCATTTGCCATACATTTTTTCATTAGTTTATATACAGTATTAAATAAGCCCGTTGAATTTTCCTGTAAACCTAATACAGCTCTTGTCATTGCTTTCACTAGCTCACGCTAGACAAGAAAAAAAGTAAAGTAAAAATTATTCATTAAAGAAAATACAATTACTTTGACACGAGCGTCAGCACCAATTTCAGGATCACAATGGGGTTCATCGGGTAATAATGTAAAATTTCCATGAAAAAATGATGTTGTCATATTATCTTCATCGTCATTTGTTTTCTGTTTATCAACAATATGCTTTGATATATTCGAAAGTATTCGTTTTCCCATATCACCAATACTAATTGGAGAAATTTCAATCATATGACCAACTAGAACAAGACGTGTTATAAATTGATCACTATCAAATTGATCATATTGTGTATCCTAGAGAAATTTAACAGTTGAAAAAAGACAATCTCAAACTATAGATTTTTATTTTACATCAATAAGTTTTTGAAGAAGTTCATCTCTGGTATTTGGGTTTAGCGCGCATAAACAATAAAGTGCACGTTTTGCAATAGGAGGATGGAGAGTTAAATAAGTTGACAGTTCAGAATTCAGAAGACTAAATTAGTAAAGCGGAAAAATAATTTTTGTTTTTGGGAATGTTTTTATGGAATACATACGTCATCATATTGGTTTGATTTAATTTTATAATTGATGGTGCACATACTTCAATAGTACGAATAAGTATGGGTGCTAATAAATCGAAACAAAAAGATTCGTTTTCAATAAGAATGATATGAGAAAAAAACCAAACCTAATTCAAGTACACGTTGTTTCAATAAATTACATAGTAATTCAAGAGATTCCGGACAATCGAAGATAAATGGATGTTGAATAAATACCTGAAGAATATTAGAAAAATAAATGCAAATCAGTGTTTTTTTTTCTCAGCGAGCACCCCTCATAAAACGTGTTAGAATGCACCATCCGAAATAGATCGTACGATATTCGTCAGACGCTTCGTAGTTTTCATGAATTATTTTAATTAAACATCAAGGGACAAGACATAGAACCCGTAAAGATTATTTTTCTATACATATTTCGTTTTTCGATTGGGTTTGTTGTTATGACCTTCAGGAAATGGCAGATCTGATCTTACAGTATTATATAATAAAGTGAAAGCATACATACTTTTAACAATTGATTGATATTTTCATAATAGGATGCTGGTTGTTCAGGTTCTACAAAAGGAAAAATCCTATATAGGTTTTTATTCAATTTTCCTATTTGATTTTTTACCATTCGAAACTCTTTCAAATATTAATTTCAGTAATTTGCTAACTGTTTCTTGATCAAATAGAAGTGTTGAGATTTTTTCAAACATCGTTTTTATTAATCCACACATTTTGGTGTATTGCCCATGACCATTATTTTCTACTATTGTTGCTGTAATTGTCTGATCGTCCGTTGTATTGGCTGGAAAACGTTTTTGTTCTTTAGCTGCTTCTTCTAATAGCATTTGTCCGATGCCATTCTAAGCAGAAAACATAAAAATACATAGACATTGAAATTTATTTTTCATACAGCTAAAGCATAAACTTCTTTTGATTTAATTCCATCAGACATGGCTTGTTTGAATATTGACAATATACTTGATTCTTTATTAATCGTTAATGATTGTTTATGATTTTTAATTGCATAGACAGCTAGTGCTTTAAGAACAGATTCATTTTTATCTGGATTTGGTAAACAACCTAATAAAAAACCAATAATAAAAATGCAGTGAGAAGAACTTGACTTACGTAAGGCAATAATATGAATGTGACTAACAAGTTTCAATTCGATTAATTGTTTGTCATCATTCGATATATTTGAATCAGCCATTTGCAAGCAAAAATCAATTAATTTTACTAATTGCCGACGAAATCTATGGTTGCAACGAAAAAAAAAGGACAAAATAATGTTCATTGTTTCAATATAAATTGATACATACAAGAATTTGCTTTGAATGATTTCTCGAATTGCACTAAAAAAATCGATTCAGCTTTATTTACATATTCAGTAAAACTCTAGATTATAAGCGTATTGTCTCTGTCCATCTGCATAGACGTTCATCAATATCTGTACTAAATTCCTCCAATAGGCAACTAAATTCAAATAAAAAACTAGCTTAAAAAGAATATAACGATTTCTTATTATTGCACTACAGATTTGTCTCATTCCAAAAGTTTTTTTAATAAGCTGAAACAAAACAAAAAATATATAACTACTAACCGTTGAGCATTATCATCTACATTTGAGTACAACGTCAATAAAACTCGTACTTTATCGTCTGTATTCACATCCCACGGCATTAGATAGAATGTTAAAATTCGTTCTGCTAATAACCTAAAATATGCGTAAAAATTCTGTCGGCTAGTTCGAACGAACACAAAGTAATCTCACTTGTCTTGCGTAGTTTTTTGATAATATAAATGAATAATACAATTGGCAACCCATGTTAATTGTTTTTGTACATCATTGGACCAATTGTCATTAGCACATTCTTTCTTATACACATGTCCGAGATAGTCAAGTGCTTCTTTACGAACTTCCCACTAGAAGGAAGAAAAAAAGGTTCTTTCGAAAGCCATAAATCTCTCATTGAAACGCTTGATTTACAATTTTATCGCGTGCACGTTCACATAAAATTTGTTTAATTTTGTCACTGATATCCAATAGACTCGAGTTTGTTATGGCACGTATTTGTGCCATAAGTTGTGATCGTATATTTTGATCTGTTGAAAGACTTAATCGAACCATGACATCTAATGATGGAAAAGAAAATAATAATTTGCAATCAAAACTATTATCAATATTTAACCTTCAAGATCAGCTCGTAATTCTGGATGATTAACAAAGTAACTTTTAAGATGTTTGATACAAGTTGATTGAATTTCAGATGTACCATTTTTAAATCTAAATAATACCCAGTTAACCTACGATCTTTTTGTGGAACTCACATATGCACACTTTTTAGCCTTATTGAATCATGTCAACGAGAAAAATCACTAATACAGAATATTTTGATAAAGAAATGTCAGGCTTCTTGTCAATCCTGGACTTTCTGCTTGCTCGACAACTTCGGAAAATTAGTAGTAAACCTGTGTGAGTTTCATCAAAAAGATTACTGATAGACATACTGGTCAAGGAATGTATTCCACAAAGTTTTATGTCGTTGTGCAAAATCATTATTTGGTGCACTTGTTACATAAGCAACTATTTTAGCTGCATCACGACGATGTTTTTCATTCGATACCTGAAAGATGATTTTTCAAAAAAGAAATATGTGTTTGTCAGTTGTCTTACTGTTAATCGATGTTCAATCGTGGGAATAAGTTCGTCAACAATCGACTCAGATATATGACATAATTCATCGAATACATAATAAATTTTACTATGTAATTGTAATGATTCTGTATCTTCTGTTATTAAGACAGTTTTGAAATACTTTAAAAACAATATGATATGATTAGACATGAAAAATCGTTAAAGAAATCTTACTTCAGCGATTGCTGGTTTTAGACACGATTCACCACGACGAATGATTGATTCTACTAGTTCATAACATTCTTCACGCAATTTCTAAAGAGAAGCGGGGGAAAATCGCTTTTAGTTATTCACGCATTAAAACAAGTAAAGTTTGAATCGAACGAGATATGTGTATTAGATTTACATCTGGAGCTTGCACGAAAATCAGTTTCAGTTAGCATTTTGTTATTTTACCTTTTCCGGATCGATAATTCTCGCAAAAAGTAATTCTAATAATGAAAATGGTATTGATTCATATTCAGCCAAAATAACCGTCACAATATCAATCATTAAGTTTTTTAATTGATCCGTATGCTTTTTTCTATTGAATAGGCGAAATCATTATACACATGCAAGGTCATCATTAAATGACTTACTGTAAAGCATTGAATAAATTATTGAATACAACAGTACTGATTTGACAGCCACGATTATCTTCGAGATTAACAGCCGGTATAAATGATTGTACCATGCTTAAATTCTAAATGATTTTAGAACATTTTTGTAATCAATATGAAAAAAATGAACGTTGATTGCTTTTTATTTACTTCTAGTAAATAATAACGTCGACTGAAGAGTGGATCATCAATTTTTTTCAATCCAAGTAATTGACGAGCAAGAAAAAGAAACATATTCTTTAAATGAACGGAAATGTATACTTTTATTCCGTAGAGAAAATTTTATTTACTAGTAGTTTTTCAGGTGGTGCATCAGGCAAATTTGGTGCCCAAATACGAATAAGATCTGCGAGACAAATAGCAACATATAATTGAACATCGGCACGTTCATGTGAATAAAAAAAATCGTCCAATAGTGTTTTATAGAATCCAGAAAAATAATGTCTTTTTTCATAGTTTTGTGGTAATAATTGTAAAAGTCGTTGATTTTTCTAAATTAATTCAAGGAAAATCAATCAAACAAAAGTTGCTGAATTGGTTTACTGTTAAATTATCAAGTAATTTATTTGTTGGTAAACTTGGACTAACACTTAAAATCTGCGATGGCAAAACTTCAGGTACTGTACCAGACGATGCCATTTGTGGATATCTGAAAAAATGAGACTGTATTTAAACCGAACATAATAGAAAAAAAACTGCTTTGTTGCTATTATAGAGACTTTATGATTGGTCACAACTGAAACTTAAATCCGATAGGTTGCGCTAACTTGTGATGAAATCGCTGTCATATCTATTATTATATTATTTCAAGTTTCTTGAATCAACTCTTTAATTACAGAGAGTAACAATCAGGCGACTCAGAAATGTACTAGACTATTTACATTTTTGATATTTATCCTCTATATGACTTAATCGATTGAACCACATTGTTGTACCAAAACAAATGGCGTTTGAAATTCGGTAGAATATTTTAAACTTTATTCTTTTGAACTTTTTCGAGACATCGTTCTATTTCTTTTATTAATTTTTGCTTTTGCTGTATCGAGTCGGCGGATTTTATCAAAGAAGTATCAAGCAGAATACTAATTTTGATTGCTCGTTCTTTGCTGAAAAATTTTCCAATGAACATAATCTGCCTTTTGTTTTGCGTGCACGTATTAAATACTTACTACTACACATTCTGAGAATTAAAGTTAACCTAATTCCGTCCAAGATCAAGTGAAACTGAATCTCACAGTTATCAATCGCTTTACCGCCACTGATTAATGAATTACTGTGTCTCCTAACTAGAGACTACACTAACTAATGTGTTATTTTTTCAGCACAGATTATTCAAAAAAAAGGCAAGGCCTATCCTTATAGTACCACTACAAACACTAGCACCTAGTATATAATCATATGATACGTATATATCAGTGGTCGAATATGCAATAAGATGAATCATTTTATCAGTAAAAAGTAATCGAAATTATGGTTCGTTCTTTATAATAAACCATTCTTTCTCGTTCATGATAGATGACATAAATGTTATATACATGAAGTCCCTTCAGTAATATTGTATTAATTACTCTAATCTTCGTTATCTACATGATAGACATTTATTTTAATACCACAATACGAATAAAAATTCCTTCTTTTTCCTATTTAACACTTGGTGAATCTTTTAGCACAGATTTGTTTCGCTATCATCATCGCGTTGTGTGTGCGTATTCTACCCGACAATTATCAAGTTGATGCGCCAACATTAAATGTATTAATTACAGTTGCTACACACTGTTACAAACATAATCTATCGATTGATATTATATTTGAGCCAAATGCCAGTTCAAATCAGCGAAAAAATTTCGAAAAACAGTAAAGAGCAAAACTAAATTAAGCAACATGCAAACCCAACGAAATAGCAAACGAGCTAAAGAAACTATGATAGCGGAAGTATATTTACATAAACCAGGAAGAGTACTCGAAAAAAGGATAAAATTGATAAATATTTCTCAATTGACACAAAATGACAACAATTATATCAATGAAGCGTGGGTTTACAAGAAATTCAAGCACTTCTTTTCAAAATTCAGCGACGAATGTAGATAATCCATGCAGCAATTCGGTCAGATCAATATCTACTTCTGGATGAAATTTGATCAAAGTTGCATTTCTATTCGAATGACATCGATTTTGTTGATTCCATTTTTTAGACTATCACTATTTATCTTTCTAATAGTGGAAGAAAAAGATACTTTTTCTCTACGTTAAATAAAGAGAAATTCAGGAGCTTCAATTGCAACCAACAAGAGAAGGACAAATCTCGCCATTTTCAGCTTGAATTATGACTTGGTATTCAAAAACAAGTCTCAAATCAAGTCAAGAAGATTGATATATTTTTTGTAATTTATATCTGCGAGTCTTGGCTACAAAAACATTAGTCATGGAAATAGAGATAACAAAGATCACAGATGGTTACGCATTTCATATTCGTATATTTTGTGAAACGCGATCTAAAAGAAGTGTTGAAGTATATACCGTCGAATATTGTACTCTGCGCTTTATACTCACGCTACCGACGATGGCAGATGTTTCACTTAATTCACCAATATCTAACTTATTATGTTTCTGTCACAGACTCCGGTAGATGCGCTTCAAATTCTGTCTGCCACGATCTGTGGTACTTTGAGCTAGGTGTGTCACAATCTATGATGGTTAAAGATCCAGTATTTGATTGTCTAGACTCCGGACTCGTGACGGAACGTCTAATTATGATCACTGATGGTTTTCAAAGTATTCGTCAATAGCAAGAAAATATGATATCATTAAGCAAATGCATTAACGAACTTCAATAGAATCGTCATCTAACATTTGAGAAACATCCTTTTCGACGCAATTTAATATTTTCAATACCGTTTGAACTGACAATTTCAATAAAACATATATACGTCTTCTTCTATCAACAAAGCTAGTTTCTTCTCTGTTGAAAGTCTTTCAATTTACTAAACAGGTTTAAAATAAAACAATTTTATTGGAAAATATCAAACGCACGATATGAAAAACTAATGTATACAAAAAACCCAAGCAGAAGCATAATTGGCAAGTTATGATGAGTTTTTTTGAAAAAAATTGTATTTTCTATTTATCAAGGATCAATTTAATTAACATACCGGTACATTTCGATAGTTCATACTATTC